TATTGTAGGTGGAAAACATGAAACATACTTAAAAAATATTGAAACATAAATTACATATCTTTAAAAAAAGTTTCGATCCTTTTTATAAAAAGTATGGACACTTTCAACATATTATAATAAAATAGATAATTTTGTAATATAACCGGTATAAATATACCGGTCTTATGCGCGAATAGGTCTACAACCTACAACCTATCGACACTTTTTAATTTGTGTCGGTACTTTATGTCCATATTGGAAGAAAAATGTGTCGATACAATTTAAAAAAGTGTCGACATTTTACACATCGGAACCCATAATTATAATGTAATAGATAATTTTGTAATATAACCGGTATAAATATACCGGTCTTATGCGCGAATAGGTCTACAACCTATATCGACACTTTTTAATATTGTGTCGGTACTTTATGTCCATATTGGAAGAAAATTGTGTCGATATAATTTAAAAAAGTGTCGACATTTTACACATCGGAACCCATAATTATAATGTAATAGATAATTTTGTAATATAACCGGTATAAATATACCGGTCTTATGCGCGAATAGGTCTACAACCTATATCGACACTTTTTAATATTGTGTCGGTACTTTATGTCCATATTGGAAGAAAATTGTGTCGATATAATTTAAAAAAGTGTCAACATTTTACACATCGGAACCCATAATTATAATGTAATAGATAATTTTGTAATATAACCGGTATAAATATACCGGTCTTATGCGCGAATAGGTCTACAACCTATATCGACACTTTTTAATATTGTGTCGGTACTTTATGTCCATATTGGAAGAAAATTGTGTCGATATAATTTAAAAAAGTGTCGACATTTTACACATCGGAACCCATAATTATAATGTAATAGATAATTTTGTAATATAACCGGTATAAATATACCGGTCTTATGCGCGAATAGGTCTACACCTATATCGACACTTTTTAATATTGTGTCGGTACTTTATGTCCATATTGGAAGAAAAATGTGTCGATACAATTTAAAAAAGTGTCGACATTTTACACATCGGAACCCATAATTATAATGTAATATAATTTTGTAATATACCGGTATAAATATACCGATTTTATGAGCGAATAGGTCTACAACCTATATCGACACTTTTTAATATTGTGTCGGTACTTTATGTCCATACCATTTAAAAAAGTGTCGGTAATTTGAAGTAACGCGGTTTTTCTTCCTTCATTCAAAATATTTATATGTACTACAATAGGAGTGATGTTGATACTTACGATATATATGGAGATCGTTGTCATTCCATTCCGTCTTCGAAAAAATCAGTTGATGTAGGCTGTGTGCTTGTACTCAAACTAAGCTTGACTTGAGGACATGTTAGTTTGTTATGCCCCTCACCGTTGCAGTACCCACATCGCCTAATTTGCTTCTCGACCTTGTTCTTCGGCACTTCTTTTCGCTTGCGTTGTTTTCGTTGAGGGTCACGAACATTGTTTACTACAATGCTCTGGTTGACTGAATGATTCAAACCAAACGAGTTTTCTAATTCTTCTATTAGTTTTTTCATCTCATCTCTTGCGGTTTTGAAAGACTCGTCTGTCTTTGATGCAATGTAGCATAACCTACTTGACGTTGAACGTAGAGCAGCGAACCTTGCCATTTGCATCACTTCTGGAGACACATTCAAATCAACATAGCTGGGTGCAGAAGCCTTCGCATCATTAGTCCACCTACTTTGAATCAAAGTCCCGGGCAAATATGTGTAGTCCAATTGCTTCAAAATGTGAAGTTGATGGCGACACGGAAGTCCAACGGTCTCGAATTTTTTGCAGGAGCAAATTAGAGTTTTCGTACGAGAATCAAAACTAATTTCAAATTTCCTATTTTTTTCTGCGTACTTTGACAAAATATAATGTTGACATTCATCTGATAAGGACTTAATCTCTGCCTCAATCCGGTACAATGTCTCCCGTGTAAGTTCATCTTGGAACACACGAAAAGATTCGCGGGTAAAAATCGCAGCGGCATGGCTTTCAAGGTCGACCAGTTTTGTGATCTGGAAGGGCTTCGTATGGGAACTTAAGTAATCCGCTTTCAACTCGTTCATACGCATTCTACTAATTCCATCTTCAATTGCACGAACAACATCTAAATATGTCTTCTTGTGTTTCAGTGCAATAGCTAGTGAAGCATTCATAGACTCGCACCTTTGTGTTGAGCGAATATTGGCAAAGAAATGACCGGTTAGATATGCTTGTGCCCATAAGTGTCGTGTATTTCCCTTCTCAATCACCCATGGATGCTTTTGGACGTTGAATTCTGAAACAATCGAACGCCATTGAATATCAAATTCCTTGGTTGTCCACCAGGAAGCCATGCATTTGAGAATGCTGCTGTAAACTTTGGGTCACCAATGTTAGCTTGTGCATTGCGAGAAAGATGCCAAGAACATAATCTGTGCTTAGCATAAGGGATAACAGATTTGATAGCCCTCTGCATTGCCCTATCCCCATCGGTTACAACAGAAATAGGTGATTTATTCATCATGGCTTCTAAAAAATTCTGTAGCACCCACTCGAAAGATTGAGACGTTTCGTCAGCGATTATGGCAGTGGCAAACACAATTGTGTTATGGTGATGATTGACACCAACAATAGGCATAATTGGTCGACCATACAAATTATCTTTGTACGTTGTGTCGAACGCAATTACATCACCGAAGCATGTGTAATCCGATCTCGATGTAGAATCCGACCAAATAAGATTATACAATGCCCCCGATTCGTCTACCGAGTATGTCATAAAAAACCCGGGATCATCATGTTTCTTATAATCAAAGTAGGCAATAAGCGCATTCACATCCCCATCGACGATTTCCTTTGCTTTACCTCTTTGAAGTGCATTGTAGAGGTCTTTATGTGTAAATCCAACATTATGATAGCCCCCTGCCTGCTGCGTTAAATAGTTCATTACTTGTGACGTGCCAACACCGACCTCTTTCAATGTTGTTGCCTCATCGATATCAGCCTTACTTACAGCTCGATTAGAACGCATAAATGGTGTCATAGCAGATGTGCACAATGCATGATTATGTTTCTGATCAGACTTACTTATAACCCACTGATCGTTTGTATTTGTTGCTGTAACTACGACTCTAGCCTTACATCCTGTTCTTGTGACTGGCGTATGAGCACGTTGACGATCAACAGTATTGACTTTTGATACTCGAAACCCTTCTTTGGAACAACAAAATTCTTGTGTCTTCACATTCCCTTCCACGTCAAGCCGTGTTGTTCCCTTACGTGCACTAAACCCATGTTCCCGTGCGAATCCCTTGTAAAAGTGCCAAGCTTGATCACGTGAACAGAAGAGCTGACCAACCAATCTGTCAGATTCATCAACATTATGTACTTCATGGCATTCCTCGGTTGGCTTAACATTGTCTACATCAGTATTATCCATGGCAAAAATTTTGTTGTGCAAGTTCAGTGCTCCAGGAGTTGATGGATATGTAAACGAAGGTTCATTTTGAACATGTTTCTGTAGTTAAAGGGTGGGTACAACATTAAATTCGCAGTACATATTTAGGTATGTACAATAACTACAAGTATATTATCATTTTAAATTCGCAGTACACTGTTAAAAAAATTGAAACATAAATTACATAAGATGTAATAGGTAGCCCTTATATAATGTAATAGGTATCGTTTATATAATGTAATAGGTAATGGTTATATTGTAAAGTGTCTATCCTTTTTATAAAGTGTCCATACTTTTTTCACTGTGGAAAACATTAATTTAAGGTTATCTTTTGAGTGAGTTTTAAGATATTAATTTAGTAATTATAGGCGTCTAATGATTTATTTTTACGTTACGGTATATATTATTATTAAAAAAAATTCTAAATAATATTTTATAAAATATCAAAACAATCAAATAATTTTTTGTGCAAATGAAATTATTAAATCAATATTGTAGGTGGAAAACATGAAACACTGTTAAAAAAATTGAAACATAAATTACATAAGTTTTAAAAAAAGTATCGATCCTTTTTATAAAAAGTATGGACACTTTCAATATAATAGGTAAACATATGATGTAATAGGTAGCCCTTATATAATGTAATAGGTATCGTTTATATAATGTAATAGGTAATGGTTATATTGTAAAGTGTCTATCCTTTTTATAAAAGTGTCCATACTTTTTTCACTGTGGAAAACATTAATTTAAGGTTATCTTTTGAGTGAGTTTTAAGATATTAATTTAGTAATTATAGGCGTCTAATGATTTATTTTTTACGTTACGGTATATATTATTATTAAATTAAAAATTCTAAATAATATTTTATAAAATATCAAAACAATCAAATAATTTTTTGTGCAAATGAAATTATTAAATCAATATTGTAGGTGGAAAACATGAAACACTGTTAAAGTATCGATCCTTTTTATAAAAAGTATGGACACTTTCAATATAATATAATGTAATAGGTAAATTTGCAATGCTATCGGTATAAATATACTGGTTTACTTATAAAATAGGTAAATATAAGCGCTACCTATTACATTATATAAGCGCTACCTAGTATGTTATTGTACTTTATAATATTTCCGGTTAAATAATATAACATAACCGGTCTAAATTTTAACCGGTCACTTGTTTAACCGGTCACGCCGTATATTAGCCGTTTTTTAGGCGCCGCACCGCAGAACGACCCCATTAAGGCATGATCATATGAAATTTACAAAGATTGATCAGACAAAGAAACCTCAAAGAAAACAAAGGGTCTCCTACTAGACCTAGCCGCTGGCTAGGTTATATGTATGTTTTGTGCCTTTGAATCTGTCATCTTCTTCAAGCTTTTGCTCCCATGGCGGCCTTTTTTGAGTAGTCCTAGGTTAAAGAAGGCACCGTCCTGTTCTTTTTCTTACAAGACATGGTATTTTTTTTGTATTGCTTTGAGATCGGCGAAGTATTGTTCAGTGTTCATCTTCCTCCTTTGGTTTCCTTTTTTTGTTGAGTTTTAGATATGGATTCTCTTCAGGATTTTGAAACCTTGTATTCTAACTCTTCTTCTGCTGATTTCCCCGGGAGCCTGTCGATGACTGCCGTGACCTCCGCCGGGAACGGAAACGGGAACCCATTATCGTTGACGGTTTCCTCTTCTTCTTCCTCCACTTCTCCGACCACTCTCAGCCGCTACGAGAACCAAAAGCGCCGTGACTGGAACACTTTCGGACAATACCTCTTCAACCATCGCCCGCCTCTCTCGCTCTCCCGCTGCAGCGGCGCACACGTCCTGGAATTCCTCCGGTACCTTGACCAGTTCGGGAAAACCAAAGTCCACACCCCGCTTTGCCCTTTCTTTGGTCACCCTAATCCTCCGGCTCCATGTCCCTGTCCTCTTCGTCAAGCTTGGGGAAGCCTCGACGCTCTAATCGGCCGCCTCCGAGCCGCCTTCGAGGAGCACGGAGGCAAGCCCGAAGGGAATCCGTTCGGTGCTAGAGCTGTTAGGCTTTACCTACGTGAGGTTCGTGATTCACAGTCCAAGGCCAGAGGCATAAGCTACGAGAAGAAGAAAAGGAAACGACCACCACCGCAAGCTTCTCCATCTCTTCCGCCATCAAACATCAATCGAAATCAGTAAGCAAAACGAAAAAAAAAAATCTTCAAGTACGCACCAGCTGCATGAAAAAAAAAACACGGACTTACGCTACCTTAATTATTACATAACTAATTGTAGTAACCAAAGATCTATCTGATTTTCAACATCCAATTTGTCTTTAGATTTGTATTTTCGATAAGCCATTTATGACTAAGTTTAGATTTGCAGATCAAGTCGTGTGGTCTGTTCTTCAATGGTTATTTCCTGTTTAAGTATCTTTTATGTTCATCGTTTTCTTTTCTCTTCTTTTTGCTTCAGATAGCTAAAGAAACACTGTCTTAAAACACATAGGAAGTTCCATGTTTAGAGATAATCAATCACAGATTATCATAATGGGTGTAATAAAAATGGGGATTTGGGTCTTTTGTCTTGGTCTAGACAGATTTTGGGACAAATCCATCTCCCATTTCTCTCGCGTCAGTTTCCACTAGAGGAAGAGATATTTTTTAATTTTCATTATTGATTTTTAAGAAATCTTCACATGAACCCTAATATGCAGCTACCACAACTTGGATTAGGTTAAAATATATATAATAAAACCTCTACTAAGTTTTCTCTTTGGTGTTTGGTTTCCATGATTGATTCATAGAGTTGCAGACATTATCTGAAGGAGAAATTCATGTTCGAAACATGTTTTTATTTGGGTTTTATTCATGCATCATAATTATGTATGCCATATATATTATATATGTATTTGTTGTTTAGAATGAAGCCCTAGTTCTTTCGAATTATAGCTAGGGTTTTCTTTTTATAATTACATATATGATTTATTGATCGATTAATTCAGATTAAGTATTATAGAGATAACGATGATTCTCTTAATTTAATTTAATTCATTAATAATAGTTAGGATTCGAACCTTTAATTTTATATAATGAATTTAGTGTCTCAATTCACCAAATTAACTTGTAGTTGATTATAGGTCTGTTGATGGATATATATATATATATTTATATTTATATTTATATTGATGCCATGGAAATTTCATATCAGCTCTCTGCAGTTGATTAACTAAATATATAAAAAAAATATTAAGTTGACAGCTTATTATTACAAGGGACTGTTATTTTGACTAAAGCTGGCCATTATTGTATGATATGTTTAAGATTTTGTTGGGATCAAAGTTATACTAATGACCTTGCTTTTATATTTTTTGGGTATAATTATCTTCAACTTGCTTTATTTATAATATCCAAATTTAAATTCTTAAGATTAAATAAGAAATATATTATTACACCATTGAAAGTTTGGTTCGACTTTTGTTGTGGAAGTATTAATGTTGTGTTGTTCTTAAGTTGTTTATTTGAGCTATATTATGATGTTTACATCTAAAATAAAAATTAAATCAGGCTTTTAATGGGATAATATAAAATCAAGCACAATGATAATAGTAACAAAAACATATTCTAAGGAGATAATCATATAATGAAATTTAAATTTAAAAATTAACAATATGTCAGTCTAGTAAAATGAGATATTAGATCTTTTAAACAATGTCAATGGTTCGAATCTTGACGATTGCGAATGGAGCAAATTGAGTTTAAAATGTCGTTCTCGCCTTTATAGTATCTTATCTGTATTAATCGATCAATTAATTAAAAATTGGTGGTTTATACTAAAAATATATATATATAATGAAATAAAATTTAAACCTAAAACCAATACACACAATGAGATATAAACCTGAGATATCGATCGGCAGTGATAATAACCTAGGGTCTTATTTTGGCAATAAGAAAATTTACTAAGGACGTATTTGCAATCTTTATGTGCAATTGTATTTCATTTTCACCCATCAAACTCTCATTGTCGTGCCTTTGCATAATGAGCCATGAAAATCACCCGTTAAATTTTTAAGGGTGAGATATTAAAGTGAAAAAAACTACACATTAAGTATGTTTTAAAAAATTTAAAAGTTTAGGTATTGAAACAGATTAAAACTAATAATTTAAATACTAAACTATTAGTTTACCCAAAAATATTGTACCCTACCGGTTACTGGTGCTTCACTTTGATGCATGGTGAAAGCTTACAGAACCTGAACCATTGGGTGCTTCTTTTCTCTCTTGTCGTTCATGTCTGTCTCCCATATCCATCCCTCTAATATCTTGCCACGTGGATCGACTTTTACCCGTTTATGCATGTACATCTGACCCCACTTATTGATGATGTGGGACATCATTGGTATGAGTAAGAAGCTTTGTCGGGAAGTTCTACGGAGCATATTAAAATAATACGATATCGATTTTATTATTATTTAAATAATAAAATTAATAAAAAAAATTATTTAAAAAATTATTATTTTTACTTAAAACATTAATTTTGTTAATATTTTTAGTAAAAATACCAAACTATATCAAAATCACTAGAAAAAATAATAAAACTGATAGCGTCTAATAATGTTTCCGATCATTTTTTACCGGTGTTGTTATTTAAATAATAACTAAACTGATAGCGCCGTTTTTTAACCTTATATTAAGATTGTCGCTCGTGAGCATTTCTAATTTTGTTGAAGTTGTCATGCCTATAACTTTATGATGCTTATACTACCGGTAGTGTTACCAGCGCTGTAAATGAGATAAGACAGATCACGAGCTAATCGAGATTGATTCGACCAAGGCTCGATAATATACTTGGATCGAAAAGCTATTTGTTAAGACTCGAGTTCTTAACAAGCCGAAACGAGTTATTTGATATTCAACTCAAAAAACTAGTGAACATCTCGAAAATATAATATATTAAGATTTTATTTTCTTTAAAAACAAATTATTAATAATATTAAAATTTATATATTGATTTTTTTTAAAATATAGTAAGTTTTTTATGTATTTAAGGTTCATATTCGAGTTTGAGGTTTCAATCGAGTTAAGTTTAAGAAAAAAAATTCATTTTGAGCATTTTCAAGTTGCTCACAAGCCTAAATTCAGGATTTCAAGTCGAGTTTGAAAATTTTAAGCTCGCGAGTTTTCGAGTCGAGTCGAACTCAACAATACTCGAACTTGACTCGGCTCGTTTACACCCCTAAGTGCTACTCTTTCTAAACAAGTTTTTTCTGGTTATTGTCTGTAATAAAAAGCAGTAATGGATTAATATGTCGATATAATTAAATCCATTCTATTATTAGTGGTATTAATCAAGGGTTTTATTGAGGTCAATCTAATAGAATGTGTAAGTTTAAAGGACTAAATTTGATACAACCAATGTTGGTTCCCCGACCGGCACCATCTCCACCTCTGATTTCGACTTTCGATTCTTGGAATGTCATTGTGACGGCAAGTTGGATAGAACAAGACGTGATTTATAGAATTATTTCGAACTAAGGTCAATTTGATCAGATGTGTAAGTTTAAAGGACTAAAATTGATATTATACCATGTTACATTATCATTTATGTTAAGTCAACGGTCAAATCCAATGACAGATGACCAAAACATAAATAAAATATAACGTTAACCATGATTTTGAAAAAGAAATTATTTGGTGACCAAAACAAAAATGCTAAAATAAGTTGATGACCAAATAGATAGTTTATCCTAAAAAAAGCTTACCTATAATTTAGGATAAACTACACTAGATACCACTAAATTTGATACCATGTATCATTTATACACTAAACTTTTAGTTACTCAAATTATAAATAATTTTGGTTTTAACTTCAATTATGTCAGTGGGCCGTTAAAGTTTAACAACATGATGACGTGAATATATTTTTTATCATTGTGATGACATGGAAGAAATGATATTGTTTTGGTGACGACTTTTGATGTCTAAAAGAACGTTTTAAACTCTAAACATTAGAGGTGTATCAATTTTTCCGTTAAATTTTTAAACCGTTCCATTTTTGGAACTGCATTTTTTCGACCACCGTTGACAATTAATTATCGCCTGTCACTGGTTGCCTTTCATAACAAGATCAGTACTAAAATATCGTATTTCACTCCTTTTTTTGCTCCTTTGATTGATTTTCTACAAAATTCACTCAAAATCAATGAAAATTGATTTACAAGTTTGACACGCTAATACACCGATCTCTATTGATGACTGTTTAATGAAGCTAATTTTGAGGTATGTTGTTTGTTTTATCAAACACCTCAAATCCCTTAAATCTAATCTAAGAAAGTTCTTAAACCCTAAAAATAATAGATTTCTTTATTTAAATTCATCGATTTTGAGTAGGTTTCATGAAAAATCAATCATAGAAGAAGAGGAGTGAAATGCGAACGTTTTGGTACCAAATATTGCTACAAAAGAATACCGATGATGGATAATTATTGGCTATCAGAGGCAGTAAAAAATGTACATTGCCAAAAACAGAAAAGTTTAAAAGTTTAATGACAAAATTGATACACCCCTAAAGTTTATGTCCTAAAATAACGTTGTTTTAGGCATCAAAAGTCATCACTAAAACAATGTCGTTTAGTCAACGTCATCGTGTTGTTAAAAATGTAGCAATCCATTGGCATGATTATAATTAAAATCAAAGCTTAGTGTTATAATTGGAGAAATTAAAGGTTCAATATCATAAACAATACACCACTTGAAGTTCAATGGTATTTGATGTATTTTATCTTATAATTTATCGAAGATGAAGGCTATAAATTCATTCGAAAGTTGGGTAAAGTACATAAATGGTCCCTCGACTATAGGGTATTATTTTATGAAATTTTTCGACTATTAAAAGTTATAAAATGATCCTTAGACTATAGAACGTTTAGCTCATAATATCATATATTTTTAAAGGAAAATGACGAGTTTGGAACATAATGAATAGTCAAATGATCATTTTGTAACTTTTAATAGTCGAGGGACTCAACAAAACAACATTATATCACCTAAAGATCATTTTATAACTTTTAATAGTCGAGGGACTTATAAATTAACACCCTATAGTTGGGACACCATTTGTGTACTTTACCCTATAAATATAGGGTTTGAAGTGGAGAAAGGTAAACCAAAACCAAGGCCCTACTCAAGGCGTATGAA